GGTGAAATAGGAAGTAGAAAAGCGCAAGAGAGAAACATTTGGGCCTCAGCTAATGAATAACAAACCAACTACTCGTAGTGCAAAGAAGAAATAATAGCATTGATATTCTCGATTTGAGTAGTTTTGAGATTATCACTCATTCTTGAATTTGCGCTTAGTCATCCCTGTTCGTTAAAGGTAAATTATGAAATGATAATTTAATCGAAGATATTATGACCAAGATGGTGTGTCCCTGGGTACGTTCACACTCTTTTTTCGGTTTATAGAAGCAGGTTGAACTCGTTTTCGCAACTTAGTTTTGTTGCCAGGGGGACTTAGTTGAAGGCAACTTGTCCGAAGTCCTCTGCCATAGTAGATATCATAATTCCCAGCACCAGACCGTGGACCTATCACATTTTCAGACATTTCGCCGGCATAAACATCTTAGAATGTACCCGATCCACGGTCTGATGCTGGAAATTATGATATCTACTATGGCAGAGGACTTCGGACAAGGTGCGTTCAACTAAGTCACCCTGGCAACAAGACTAAGTTGCGGAAACGAGGTCCGCTTACTTCTAAGGCCTAATAGTTTTTCCACATTTAGATGGCTGCGCTACAGGTACCAATGGGTCAAAGAGCAGATGAGACACTCAAGGCAAACCGGACCTCTTCAAAATCACATTTTATGGTGGCGATGACGAATAAGCAAGCATGTGCTTGTCGATGCACTCGACGACGCTTCTTATTTTCTAAGTAGGTCGAGGCTACAAACAAATGAGACCAGAAAAGTATGCGAAGAAAAGTTTAGTTTAGAGGAACCTCTTGTTTCATAATTGCTAGGCCTACTTCCATTTCGAGTGAAAGTAAGCTTAACAATTAAGAAAAGTATGCATAACAAAAACTTATGCGTTTTAGCGTAACTGACCGTTTCCTGAGCTGACGATGTTTGTCACGGCGGACGGACGAAGACTCCGCGCGGATGGATCGGGGTGGCAGGCCGGTGAGCCGAGGGCTTCTTGAGACATTCCATTGTGCTTTATTTCAAGGTAATCCTTCTTCGGCTTCCGGTGGGGCCAGTTCATGAATACTTTCCAACCGGCTTTTCTTTTAAATGGAAGCTCAGGTCACATCAGTGGAAGAAAAGTTCGGGTATTGAAGTACCTTTCATTTCGTTTGAAGAGGCGAATGGAAGGTATCTGGTCTCTCAAAAAGTCAAAGGGAAATGACTTTGAAGCGGTGAGTGTAGAGTTGCGCAACCCCGACGAATCCTTGCTGAGTTTTCGTCCGTCGTATGACGGACATTGTCCAAACTGGACATCATACCGGATCAAAAATGGAAGTGATGTAGGGGAGGATGCAGATTTTGGGTACACTTTAGCTAACTTTACTCTACATCTGCAGTCACTTCAATTTTAATCGAGCGTGCAGGAAAAGCACAGAATATTCAACCAAATCATGAGAGTCATCATGTGTTATTAAACCTGGATATAAGCCTAATTACTTCTTGTAGCTTGACTTTGTCCATTCTATAAGATACCTCGTGATTTGGTTGAATATCTTTTTGCTCGGCGGTACATCTGGTTCCCCCTCTCTCTAATCATATCCAACAATCACATGTAGTTTCCAGGTTGCTGGCAGTCTTGCTGATTCCTATAGATTATCTAATATTCCAGCACTAATCTAGCAATACTATCGAATCTTCCACTTGCAGATATAGTCCCCATATTTAGTTGAGCGTAAGTTGTGGCGGCCAGTTATGATCTTTGGACCCAGAACCCCTTACAGGTTATTGTATGTCCGGAAAACCGCTTATGTATGGATCGGCAGGTCTCTCCCGTATAGACGCCATTACATAAACACAAAACCTTGTTCCAGCCCGATTTGGAGGAGGGGTCCGAAAATCCCCGAAATTCACAAAGCTCTGCAGTTCAGAACATGGATCTACTAAGGAAAATGCTATTTTTCCTTATACGTTGTCCTGATGTCCCACCATTTAGGCCATATTCTTACTTCAATAGACATTTGTTTGAGTATGTAGAAGAACTGGGATATTAAGACAATGTATAAGGAGGAAACAACACTTTCCTCAGTAATGCTATCTTTTGGGCTGCAAATTTGTGCAAATAAGTCCACAACTTACCGCCCCGCGACCCCGATTAATCCTTGCTGAGCTTTCATTCTTCGTGTCACGGACATCGTCAGAGCAGGACACCATACAGGATCATCTGAATTAGTGATGTAGGAGAGGATGCAGATTTTCGTTAACAATAGCATTAACATTACACTTCATCTGCAGTCACTTTATTTTTCAACGAGCATATAGGAAAAGCAGAGGATATCATGGGATGTGGCATTACTTGTACAAAGTTAGGCTACCGGAAATAGGTACGATTGCAGCCGGCCACCTTTCTTGTCTTCGTGTTTTCGTGAAGCATCGCAAAACCTGATGGTTTATTGTAAAGTTGTCCGTCATGCGAGAGGCAAAAGCTCCGCAAAGATTCATCGAGCCCGCGGGGCGATGGCCGAAGACTTATTCGCACAAGGCTACAGTTACAGCTCCTTCGGCTTCCGGTGAGACCGACTTACGAACCCCTTCCATTCGCCTCTTCAAATGAAACAAAAGGTGCTCCAAAAAGAGTCAATTAAGTAACTCTTAGAAAACCAGTTTTTCTATGTTTAATGAATCTGAGTGACTGTTCAACGATCAAAGCTATTTGTCGAGGGGTCAGTAAAGGTCCTTCGGGACATGAGATATGAAGCATTGCAGGGGAATCGTGGGCTGAAAGTAAGGATGGCACAATTGCCTGATAGGCACTTGAACTAACGGGCTGAGGGGCAGAGACCAGCACTAGCTACAGGAAGAAGCAAAAAGGCAGTTTAGGGAAGAATATAATTTAAATGTTCTCTTTGACTAGGATTTTTTGCATTATTTTATACCAACATATTTCTCGATGATATAATGCATGGCAACATTAGACGAAAATCTGATTTGAGCCTCTTTTGGCCAGCTCAATCTGGTCGAGTCTGGTGCACATCTCGACATACTAATGGAGATTACCCGACTTCCCAAAGATCGGGTGGTCTGCGAACAGCATTTTAGGCTCCAGGAAGGACAGAGTTGCACATGCAACTATGCGCCTTAAAAGCTGATACAAACCCAGAGCCACGCAACTAAACAGTGGAAAGGCAAACTGGAAAGGTCTTGGAGAGGGAGAAAAAGTTGATATGAATAAGACATCAAAGCCTTTTCAGACTACCTGTAAATCTGATGCCGATGAGGACATGACACGGTTGGTAGAGCGCGTTCACGGTGTCCCCGAAGAAGAGCAGATACAACGAAAGGCTCCAGAGCAGACTGTAGGCGAGAGCTCGCCAGGCGGACTCGGTGAACTTCTCGCGTTCCGAGGCGTGAATCTCCAATCGCTGGACAAGAGGCTGCATCAAGTGGAGGGAGTGTGGAAAGGAGTGAAGACTACGTGAACAGGAGGGCTACACTCGTCGACAAAGCAACGGTCCAAGGGCTGACTGTCACCTCGAGTGATTAGGAGTGCGCCCTGGACTATTCTGAAGCTAAATTACGCTGGCCGAAAAGCACCGTTGGGCGGTTCGGTACCGAAAAAAGGGACCAAAGGTTGGCGTACCTTTCATTTTATTTGAAGAGGCAAATGGTAGGGATTAAGGAAT